TAGTAGAGACGGGGTCTCGCTCTGTTGCCCAGGCTGGTCTCGAAATCCTGACCTCGAGCAATCCGCCCGCCTAGGGCTCCCAGAGAGCTGGGATTACAGGCGTGAGCCACCGCGCCCGGCCTCTGTCGGCTCTTGAGTCTCTCCAAGATCCCTATCTAGAAGCCCTTCACTCCTTGCCTTTCCTGCCATCTCTACGATCTCCGTGATTCCCTTGGTGGGTTCTGTTGTCAGTCCTGGGAAGTCACGCACAGCATCCGGACGCAGTTTTCTCCAGCAGGCGTTTACGGCTTTGGCCTCGATGGCTTCCACAGCTTTTTCTGTGGCAACAGGGCCCTCTCCAGTGGTATAGTCCTTCCAGACTTCCATGACGTTCTTTCTCGTGGGCTTCTCTCCCACAGCAGTCATGGCGATCCTTCCCGCAGACTGCCGTGTTCACGCGAGGAGCCTCGAACGTTCTGGTGACGCTTCATCTAGAGGCTCGATTAGAGGCAGCATGTTTGGAGGCGTGTAGACCACTTTGAACTCACGGGCTCTGGGTGGCCAAGGGCATTCATTATCCAATATCAAAAGAACTTTAAGAGGCAGTCCCTTACTGGCTAGGCACTGCCGACTTAAGGGCGAAGCGTGGATGGAACCAAGCAGGAAGAAGGTTCTCACTGTCCAGGCCTCCTTGTTATACAACCCAAAGACCGGCAGCTGGTGTTTCTCTTTTCCCGTCATGGCCCAGGGGTCAGCAGCTTCACAGATGAGGCAGTCCTGACGGTAAACCCAGCTGGGTCCACACGCAGCAGTGGAGTCAGACTGTCCCACCTGCCTCGGTCCTCACGCCCGCTTTTCTTCCTCACTTTAACGTCCTCCGCGGCACCGTTTCCCAGCATTTCATCTGCATTACCAACCTGTTCCGGCAGCTGCCTTTTCTTCCTCGGCGATTTTCTTAAGGGCACCTGGGAACTCATCTGCTGCCTCTCGGTTGGCAGAAGCTGCTTCTGTTATCTTGACATTTTCAAGGCCACACCTCTTTGTGGAATTATCAAACCATCCTTCGCTGACGTTCAGTTCCCCAGCTTCAGACCTTCACCTTCCTTTAGCTTTAGGCTGCCATGGAACGACTTCACCTGTTCTTAACCTCACATAGGGTCTGTCGGTGTGCCTTTGCTTACCGCAGTCCTGCACCCACATAAAAGCTCCATTTTCAAAAGGAGATAAAAAGGTATTTTGCAAAACATGCACGGTTGTACATCTGCTGGCATAGCTGCAGTGATGGCTTCATGAATTTAGTTGTTTTTTTGTTTTTTTTTTTAAACGATGGTCCTTATGCCAAATTCATTTATCTTAAAATGGTGGGTAACTGCAGCACCTGTCCATCAGTTCAAGATTTTCTTATAATATTGATTTTCTCTGCTGCTTGACAGCCCTTCTAGCGTCCTTAGTGGCGCCTCATGTCAGTCCTATGATGTTTTTCAAGGTTTAGGGTATCATACTAAACACGATGAAAAATACGTGAGAACTGCAAGAGATCACTCTTTCTAACTTTTTATGATAGATTTGTTTTACAGTGGCAGTAAGTAATGAAATAGACTAGTGTCTGTGTATAGTGTATGCATTCACAACATAACTTTTTCTTAATTTTTTCAATACTTCTAGGCTACGCAGTTCATATGCGCATTTTTTGGAATTGTTGCAAATCTCTGAAATATTTTCCAATATATTGATTGAAAAATGCCCATGTGTTAAGTGGACCCGTGCAGTTCACACCTGTGTTATTCACAGGTGTGAATTGTTGCCGGCTATACGGGGCAGCCTAGGTGTGTAGGAGGCTACACCCTCCAGATCTGTGTAAGTACAGCCTGTGAGGTTCACATAACGGTGAAATTGCCGGAGGGTGCCTTTCTTGGAAAGGTCCCCTTTATTGAGTGACTGTATTTGTGTCTTTGGATCCGGGTGAAGCGAGTCCCCTGCAAAGAGCATAAGGAGGGTCCTGCTATCTGCCTCAAACCTTAAAGCACTCGGGTTGTTTCTTGCCAGAGAAAGTTCGGGAAGCACACGACGATGAGCGTAATAATCCCCACAGTTTTGCGCGATCGCCTGTCACCTCCCCCTCCTCCATAGCAGTTTCGGGGACAGTCAGGGTGTAGCCCCGTCTCTGCTTCCTACCACAAGCCCACAGCGGTGGGGGGTGCAGTCTCTCGCCGCCGCCGCCCTCTGTGGACGACAGTCAGCCACGCAGAGTGGCCATCTCGTGCCGCCCGGCTCTCCCTGCGCCGGGGTGGAGTCTCCTCCCCACCCCGCCCCTGCTTCACCAGAGCTGGACATGCAGGTGCGCGGAGGAGTCAGACTCGCCGTGCCGCTCGGCACCGTCGCCTGTGGGACCGCCAGGGAAGGCAGCCCCCCAAGGCCCCGGGCCGGCCTCTTGGCCAACCCCGAGGACAGTTTCTGGCTCAGTTCTCCCCTGGCCCAGGAGCTTCAGGGATTTCCGGTTGAGGAGAAAAGCTACTGCAGGAGGATCTAGTACTTGCTGGGGCCGTGGGTGCCTAGCATCAGTTTGCCTCGCGAGCGCCAAACCCTAGCGCGGGCTAGCAAGGAGGGCGCCGACATCTGGGCGCTTCTCTGACACACACACCCCCCGCTCTGAGACACCCAGCTGCCGCCCAAGTGGGGGTTGTTTCTGCCACCAAGATGGGGCCCTTGCAGCACCTCTCCACAAATCAGCGTTGCCGGCCCAGCCCAGTTCCAAAGCCGGTGCCAAATTAAATGTCAGCTGCTTCGAGGGTGGCTGGCTGCCGCCCCCAAGGGAGCCGCGCAGCTGAGTCTCGGGCCAGACTCCGAATACATGCATTCACGCCGCGTGCCTCAGCCACGGCGGTGCCTCCGAGAGCCGGCGTGCACGCGTGCCTGCCCACGCGCCTGTCTCAGCTCTCAGGTCTCTGGCTTTGCGAGGTCCCTGTCCTGTCGGCCGTGAGCCACATGACCCCGAGTGAGGCCTGGAGCCTCCGATTCCTGGTGTCCACGTCTGCAGTGTGGAGGTGCTTAGAGCCCTCTTGGGAAGGCCACCAGGAAATGGAACACGGGTGCACACAGCGGCACGCAGCGCGGGCGCCGACCGTTGTGAAGGAGGGCCCTACTGTGTGCCGGACCACCCTGCACCGGGTGCCCAGGTGCTCTCCACACTCGGGCCTGCAGCACGCTCCGGAGCAGACCCCGGGGCGCACGCGTCGGCGGCTGACTGTCCCGTGTCTCCGGTTTCCAGTTCAGGACCTCAAGGGGCTCGGCTACGAGAAGGGGAAGCCCGTGGGTCTGGTGGGCGTCACAGAGCTGTCAGATGCCCAGAAGAAGCAGCTGAAGGAGCAGCAGGAGGTAAGGCCACAGCCGGGGGCCGGGGAGTGTCCCCTGCCCCTCCGCAGGGCAGTGGTCGAGGCTGTGTGCGTGTGCTCACGCTCACCGGGCCCTCGTATGCAGGCAGAGCCCACGGCTGCCGGGCAGGCTCCTAGCAGGCAGGCGCCGTGGGCTACTGCCCACCCCACCCCCGGTGTCAACGGCCTGCCACCTGCCAGGGGTCACGGGGCCCAGGGCCTCCACCCGCCTGGGAGGCGCCCCCCTCAGGGGCTTTTCCCCACAGTGTGGTCCCTGTGCATATTTTCCTTCCGCAGTCCCCTCGGTGTGGTTCAGGATGGTGTCTGTTAGCACAGGCGCCCTGAGGGACCTGAGGCCGCCTGTTTGGTGTCAGGCTGTGTTGTGGGAGGGCCTGGCTCCGCAGGGGCCCTGGCAGGCGTGTGGCCTCTGCCGCCCGGTCACACACCCTCCACCCTCCCGGGGCCGGGAGCCCAGACCGCCCTTGCCCAGCGGCTGCGGGGCTCGCGTGCTCCGTCAACTCCGGGGTGTGAGGGACCCAGGGCGCGCCCTGGCACGGGACTGGGTGCCGCGACGGGCGGGGCCCTCGCTGACTGGCGCCTGCTGCACCCGCAGATGCAGCAGATGTACGACATGATCATGCAGCACAAGCGGGCCATGCAGGACATGCAGCTGCTGTGGGAGAAGGCGGTGCAGCAGCACCAGCACGGCTACGACAGCGACGAGGAGGTGGACAGCGAGCTGGGCACCTGGGAGCACCAGTTGCGGCGCATGGAGATGGACAAGACGCGGGGTGCGCCGGGGCCGGGCGGCGCCGTGCAGGGGGCTTGGGGGGGCCCCGCGGGCCCGGGAAGGCACCCGGGTCTGGATCCTTCCGTCCCGGTTCAGCCCCCAGCCTGCCTGCCCTGGCTGTGAGACCCGGTCTCTCTGTGCCTCAGTTTATTCAGGGGTGAAAAGGGGGTGGCGCTGACCTCCGGGGGCGGGGAGCTCCATGGGCGTTCACTGACGTTTGAACAGAAGGCTGGGCAGGGGTTCCTGGGGAGCAGGGCCTGGGTCGGGGTCCCGGGCCAGCGACCCCCTTCCCCGGAGGCCACTGGCTCCCAGGAAGACTCAGGCCTGTGCCCCGGGAGCCACCCAGCCCAGCCCCCGCCTCCCACCCCCTCTCACCTCCCCCTGCTCCCCTGGGCAGAATGGGCCGAGCAGCTGACCAAGATGGGCCGGGGCAAGCACTTCATCGGAGACTTCCTGCCTCCGGACGAGCTGGAGAAGTTCATGGAGACCTTCAAGGCCCTGAAGGTGAGGGGGGGCGGCCCCGGCCCCTCCTGCAGCCGAACCCACCCCACGCACAGCAGGAGGGGCCCCTTTCGCCGAGGGAGGTGTCTGTTTGTGACAGATGCCGTCTGTGCAGGGAATTGGCAAACGGCAGCTCAGCTGCCGCTTCAGAGACAGTTCCTGGGGCCGTGGGGGGGATTCTGCTTCCAGTGGAGCCGGTTACGTGTAGTTTACAGGCAGGGTTTCTCTGGCGGGAGCCCCCACACACTAGCCTCTCCAGAACGAGAGCTTAACGTGCTGCCCCCGGGCTCCTGGGGAGAGACCGCTGACGCCGCACATCCCCCGTTGTCTTTTTTTTTTTTTGAGACAGATCTCCACTTTGTTGCCCAGGCTAGAGGAGTGCCGTGGTGTCAGCCTGGCTCACAGCAACCTCAAACTCCTGGGTTCAGCAATCCTGCTGCCTCACCTCCAAGTAGCTGGGACGACAGGCATGCGCCACCATGCCCGGCCTAATTTTTTTTCTATATATATTAGTTGGCCAATTAATTTTCTTTCTATTTTTAGTAAGAGGGGGTCTCACTCTTGCTCAGGCTGGTTCGAACTCTGACCATGAGCAATCCGCCGCCTCGAGCCTCCCAGAGTGCTGGATTACAGGCGTGAGCCACC